CATCTAAAGCAAGACAATTTGATCAAGATCATCTATTCAACCCTAGGAAGATACTTCTTTAAGAAGAGGTCAATGAAGGGCAAATAAAAATTTAAAAAATGATTAAGATGAGAGCAGTTTAACCTAGCATTAAGCTGAAAAGTTATCGGCCCGGTTCCACCTCTGTTATAGGAAATTAAAGATCAGAAACATGCAACTTTTAAAAATTAGACGTGCGCTAAAAGATATATAGGATCCATTTCAAATGTATTGAGTTGTGGAAACTGAGCTGGGGAGCCTAATATCAATTAGTTCCTGGTACGTGTATTGTGTGCATTTTCCCGTATTTTCGCCTTTAATGAGTGAGGTCTGGTGACATGTCTAACTTCGGAGGTTACTAGCCTAGGTACTCATGCACAACTGACTAGGACCTTCGGATAGGTGCGACTATCAACTTAAGCAACAGGAGTGTGGATATGAAGGCCAAGATGGTGTGGCCTTCTCTTTGGTCGCAGTCTCAATTTGCTTTATAGTGTTGGTTCGACTTTGTTTTCTCAACTTTGTCGGAGCGTCAGCGATACCTTGTAAAACGTACTTAGCATTTTGTCGTCTGCTATAGTATTCGTAATTTCCATTGACTTGGTACATTCCCAAACGTTTCGTCGGCATCGTCAGCGAGGCGCCATCTTAAACATATACTTACAACTTATCGAAGTGACAAGTAAAGGCAACCTCTTACGTCTAGAGGATGTAAATCATCGAGAACAGGAGTTAAAAAGGCTAAAAAAATATTAGTTGAGAACGATTATCCGGTAGGATTAATTGTTAACAATGTCAAAATATTTAGAAATAGGGTGAAGGAAAATCATTATTTTGGACAAAACAAGGAACTAGATAACACTTCGGCCGGGTTCCTAATGCTACATTACTGCAAACCTTTAAGAAAGATTAGCGAACTATTGAAGAAATGGAGCGTCAAGACATATAAAGAAGCAGCAACCCTTTCCTCGATAATGCCTTCTTATAGAGAATCATCAGACTCCTGTAGATAAGATCATTATAAGGTTTTGTGCTCATGCGGCAGTGTTTTTGTGGGGGAGACTTGTCGATCCATACATAAGAGGCAAAAACAAGCTCGAACCAACACTATAAAGCTAAATAATACTGCGACCAAACAGAAGGCCACGTCATCTTGGTCTTCATATCCACACTCTTTTTATTGTTTAAGTTTATAGTCCCACCCATCCGAAGGTCTTATTCAATTGTGCATCCGTACGTTGGTTTTTGCATGCGTGGGTAGTGAAGCATTATTTATTATTATTATTTATGTACTTTCACAAGTTTTTTCTTAATTGTTATATTCTTTTAAACTGGCCTTACTTGCGATTGCTAGCCTTAATACGAACATCTATTAAGCTGTCTTATTTTTGAAGGATTCTTAAATAGTTT